AAGTTAGTCACCTCGGTACGTTACGTCGGAGCAGTCATAGGTAAAACCACAAAATTGAGACCGATACTCTGTTCATTGAGAGAAAATAGTGCCAACACTCTATTCACCCCGTTATATGTGATCTTCGAGTCATTATCCTCAATCAAAGTAATGGCTTATCAGTACATATCATTGTGACTACATAGAGCCACAAATAAAAAATAAACTCAGTGTAAACTCAGATAAAACACGTCATTGAAATACTTTCTTTGTAACTGAAACAATATCACTAAAAATAATAAATAAGAGGTAGTTTTTGCATCAACATAATTTTGTTCACTTAAAAACTGGTCCCGGTAAATATGATGTTAATATCACACTTTTAGTTAAAATTTTCAACGAGAAAATTTTCATTATTACGCAAAAATTGAAATATAACGTAAATTTATAAGTAAAAGACTTTTTTAGGTTTTGTATAAATGTAATTTACCATCTTTTTTGTTTGTTGATTGTTTTGCCATCTTTCACATCGTACTTTTGAAGTCTTTTGAGGTACGTATGCTTATTGAAAAAGTTTTTTTTTAATAATTTTACTAATTATTTTTAATGTTTCAGTTTAACACAATTTTAACTCCTTAAAAATCCTTAAATAAATCCTCTTATATGTGGTCAAAACGTCGTGAGGGGACTTAAAGAATCTCTCGTGAGTCTAAAGAGGCTAGACAGTCATCATAAATTTAACCATTTCAAACCAAAGTATTTTAAAATATACGGTCGAAATACATCTTAACTGTCCATTTGTTAGAGTACAATTTATCTCTTTTATTTTTAAATATATTTATCGGCGCTACCAGCTTTAATAACGGATGCGACTTGAAAATAATTGGAGGCTGTCATCAATTCTTATTAAACCTCATTAGTATTTATGATTATTATTGTTAAAAGTAAAACGAAATCAAAAGAGAATAGAATTATGTTTGAATCTTAAATATGACGTCTGGACTCACGACGGCGGACTCCAGATTTGAGAATTCAGAATGGATATTCGTAATTCAGAGTTCAGTGAGTGCGTATCATTGAAGTATGTGATTGTGAGGAACCTTCTAGAAATACAGGAGCATTAAGAACAATTGCAGTTTCATTTTAAAATATCATGCAAAGCTCTAGAAGAAGTGACATTTGTAACGGCAGCGAGGCTGGCGTCCCTCTCTTTAAAATCAACGAATGTGTAATAAATCCGATATATTGCATATAATTAGTTTTTGTATTATTTATTTAAGGCACAAATAATATCTTGTTTGTTATTTCGTTAAGTTATAAAGTTTTTTTTTCAAATTGAGCCTTCAGTTATACTGGAAAAATTTTAAGCAAGTATATTGGAAACCACCATTAACCATAATATACGAAAAAGGTATTGGAATAATAGAAATAATCATTTTATATGCACACACCGACTTACTATGTAGTTATTTGAATAAAATTTGTTACGTCATTGCAAACGACAAAATCTTAATTCTTTTTTCTTGTATTCATCAAATATCTTTTAAACTTTAAACCCAGATCACTTACAATTTTATATCATTGATTTAAAATAAATACATTTTTAAACGGTAATATTATCTTCATTATTCACAATGTCCACTGAGCCTATATGCTCCACTGAACATCGATACTTTTGAAAGGAAAAAAAGATTGAAATCACACAAATATAAAAAGTATAATTAATATTTCAATATTTTATTTCCGAAATAATTTTGATAGTATATTTCAAAAAGGCTTAATTTGGACTGAAAAATATATTCACAGCTTAAATATTAAAGCCCCATATGAAAAACACGAAGTAAATTAAAAACTTCATGTTATAAAGCAATATCATATACCAATAATCTTCATATATTAATAAACAAAATATACAATATATTTCATAATATTTGAATGTTCAAACGCAGTTCATATTATATTAAATTAAATCGCTGCATAGTATCGTATAAGCCATATTGCTCGATTCATTCACAAGGATACGCGATGTTAGTTTCTCAGAAATCCCTTGTATGTACCTCATACACGATTCAAATTAAGGATTTTCATTATAAATGGTTTCACTCAGTATTGATTTAATTCAATATAGAAGGTATCTTTGTTTGAAATATTGGTTTGCCTTTAATTTCGTAGAGTAATTATTTTAACGTAGCATTTTCTGATATAAAAATAAAACTCTCCATATTTGTTGGTAAATGTTCCACCACATCAAAATTAAGAACTAAAGTATACAAATATTATTATTTCCTGATGCTTTATGTTTTATACTTTTTATATAAATATAATTCATTAATTACTACCTAAAAATATCTAGTATTTTAAAAGTTAATTGATGTGACGTTAAGTATAAGAAAATAAATTTAAATCGATTATCAATTAACATTTTGAAAATGGTAATTTATATATAACTCCAACTACAGAAATCGAACATTTCAATTGTCACATAATGATAAGGTATTTTAATTACATGTATTATGTAGTTGACACTTTCAATTAATGTAAAGGCAAACGCCTGTTTTACGTACACATATTATTTAACTTGTTTAATATTACTACGTACATATGTAGAAATAACTACGAATAAAATGGAAAGACGCGACCTATATATTTAACTGAATATAAGCGATCACGTAAAGATTACAAACACGTCAAATTTTTACGAAAATTTGTATGTCCTTAATGCTTTAAAATCAGTTTCTTAAGTTGTTATTATAACAATTTATATGGAAGAAGTAAATTCATAAATTCATTTCTTTTTTAATTGTTTGTGATATTTTCAAAACAAAAACAATTACCAATTCTTCATGATACAAATTTTCTTTCTGTTACTTAGACTTAAAAAAATTAAATTCATTTTAAATCTAAATTTATAGTGTGTGTGATATTTTGTTATTATTAGATAAAACATTTTGTGTGAAAAGCGACTTTGATACATTTAAATGTTGTCAAAAGACAGCATCGTTAAAGAGATATCAGCTATAATGTTTTAAGTATATCAAGTGACAATTACTCTCGGCAATTTTAACGTAATTGCAATCAGAGCTTGTCCGCTTAAAAGTCCTATCCGCATTTATCCGCATATTATAAAAGCTTAATGGAATGAAGTGAATTTATCTTCATACAGTTTTATCAAGTCCAACTATCTTTTTATGTAAGGGAAATCTTCTTAATCTATATAAAGAATACATTTAAATAAGATGCAGATAGAATAAATAGATAATAGACTAGTCTTAAGAAGAAACCTTCTAAATCATATTACGTACCTATGTTGTAAGATTTTCATCTTAATTCGTATTTCTTGAAAGACAAACTTTATTCATTACATATCTCAGCACTTGCGGTAACAAAGATAGCTGCTAACGTGTTAGCAGAGATTTAACATGATATAAATTTAGACTTAAAATTAACACGAACTTGTAATGTTAATGTCATACTTTCATTACATAGAAATACTAGTATCTCTTTTAGCTTACTTTTAGGGAACTAGCATTAAAATGTAGAGATAATTTTGAAGTATAAAGCGTTAAACTTAAAACTAGTTAGACATCGTGCATTTTTAGAAGTTTCTGTATAATGGTTGGTTGTAATTAAAACGTCAACACTTATAATTTTTTTACATAAAAAATAAGTTATGTTATAACATTGAATGGTGTTATATTTAAGGTTTTTTTCTAAATAAACAATTTGAATTTTTGGGAAAGATAAAGATTATGTTCGGATAACCTAAAAGATCCCAGTTAAGGGACAAAAAATTTCGGTTGCACAATATTATCGATTGTTAAGCCTTCTTAAATATAATTACATATTGATATAAAGGGGCCGATATAATGAATTACAATTAATAAGTTTTAGATCTCTAGTATCGCTAATACCTTAGAATTATAATAAAAAATAAATTTTATTCCGTAAGAAGCGACAATCTTGAGACTTGACGTTCTTGTATGCATAGATCATATTCCCTTTGACATCAACCTTTTCTGAACTATTCCGTATCATAAATTGACAGATAAACTATGAGTACCTAAGAGTTTTTTTAAATATATACATATGTTTACGATTTTTAAACTCATATTAATATTTTAAATGAAAAAAGATTTTGATACGAATAATAAACGAATGAAATATTCGAATACTGAATGGAATGGAGTATTTTTAATTATATTACAGCTATATATTTTTGATTAAAAACAATATTGACTGAAAAATATAAAAATAAAAGAGAATTAATTAACTATTTTGATGAACACTTCACTTATATATTTTTTAAGTTAAAGCTGTAGGCGTAGTGATGATTGAGTTTTCTCATATTTATCTGTTATTACACAATACTTTTTTATATTCATTATACGTGAAAATACAAATAAGACAAGTAAATTAAACTTTCTTTCATCATCGTATCATTATCAAAAATGTATATTTTGTTTCTTAAATAGAACAATACCTCAGTGGCAGTTAGTAAGTTAGTAATTTGGAAAATACATTTGGAAAACACAATACATAAATATTGAATAGCAATCTTCAGTATGATAAAGGATTTTTTTAAAGAGATAGAAACCAGTATCAAAATTAATTTTAACTAAATATTTACGCGTCTCTAAAACACCGTTGTACATGTGTTTATGTTGTAAATAACATTTTAAGATAAACAATATCATGTAAAAACGTCGCAAAGTATACATTTTCGTTATTAAAATTAACTAAACTAGATAAATTTTGCTAGCGCTATCATTTATTTGTGAAAAATAACCGAAACGTAATCAAGATTTGACATATTTACATGTTTAAAACTCGAAACATCCGGGACTCATATCAGAATATACTATATAATATGCATTTAGTTTAATCAATTTGAAATACAAAGTTATTTACAATAATAGTTAAATATAATCCTAACGTTACTTAGCAATTAAATCGCACTTACAAGATCGGTAAGGTGAATGGTAAATATAAACAATATAATTCTACAATATCTTTATTCCGTTTCAACAGTAGCTAAGCAGCTGACTGACGTAACACGGCTTCAGGCAGCATTCATCCACAAGACCAGGGATGCGTTTTCTCAGAGAGTAGAAACGAACAGCCATCCACGGCCAAGAGTAGAACTTCGATGTTTGCACTGAAATTATATTATTTTATTCATTAATTAAAATATTAATACAATTCACAACAGTACTTAATGATAACATGGTAAAAATTCACATCAGTAGGTAAATCAGGAGGCGTAAAGGTGGCCGGAAATTAAAACGCCAGTGACATCATTCCAGGAACAAAGCCGTTTTAAGAGTACAAGCCCATGAATAAAAATTTACTATCAAAAGTTCACGGCATTTATCGTTTATCGAAAATTTTCTAAAGAGCAGAAAAAAGTCCTCGGAAAGTAATTATTTTCGGATGGAAGTAATTTAGTCCATACAACTATTTGTCCTACAAAAATTGTACATCATACTGAAAAATATTATGTACTCATGGGGATCGTTTAATTTTATATTGTTAGATGTCATCATTGGTTAATCAGAGATAAGTTTGCCAGCACTGTCTTTCTCTGAAAATATGTACGGCATTCACGGTTAAAGAATCGTTATACAAAAAGAATAACACGAATGTCGTACAGTAATGATTAGCCTACATTTCTTCTACAATTATCGGTGATATAAAAACTTTCCACCAATTTCCTGTACTACCATTTTAACACTAGGTTTTTGGATATTTATTTTGAATAAAATAAAATAGCCGTACATTAATAATTTTCCGTAATTCCTACCTTGTACCCGAGAAATTCTATTTACACACGTACTCGAGTGCACTGTTTAAAGAAAAGGACATAGCTCAGAGTTATTTTATGATATAGTTACAGCTTCTAAGTATTATTCAAGTTGGTTAATTTTTCAAGTAAAATTTTTCATAGGGCTTGTAATCTATCAATTGTAACATTAAGTGTGTATTTGCACCCAATTGTTACTGTAATCAAAGTAATATCTACATAAAATATAAATACACGTATCATCATATTATTTTGCTATTAATACTGTGCTTTTATTTCAATGCATATAAATAAAGTACAAAAGTATATTGACTTTAACGACTTTAAATGGAATAATGTGTTAAGGGAACCTCTCTATTACTATGGACAGAGCCATTTCCTATACAGCTGCCACTATTGAACGAAAACGAAAAACCACAGAGCATAACAACAGAAAAGAAATCAGATGTTTAAAAACCTTTTCTTTTAAATAAAGAAAATAAAGCTATAGTATTCTTTTATATTATATTGGTTTCCATCTCAACATTTTAAACGTAACTTTGGACGTATCTTTTGCAAATATTCAATTAATCCTGTTCTAAACTAATATGGCAACTGCATACAAACTTTTATCTGAAACGAAGGCAATCTTCAAGCCTTTGTTTCTATGATCTCAAAGCTTTTGTGATATTAACAAGAAAGATTTTGCAACAAAGTTGTTAAACAAGTAATCGCACTATACGTTATAAAGTTTGAAATACTTAATTAGCTAATGAGCGGTTCAGATAAGATAACATGAGGAAGAAATATTAACTTCAGAATATATTTTATACACTATTACTTGAAATAGATGTTATTAAAATTTTCTGTATAATTGATATAATCTTACATTGATTTCTTTTTCCTTGTTACGATATAGAATACATACAAAAACATCAATATGCAAAAAAAATTGGTCCAAATAATTTTGAAGTGAATTTTAATATATTGCATACCAAAGAATAGAATACTAACGATCATGTTTCTCAACTCTCTTCAAATGATCAGTTATTTTGCTTCCAAAGCAGTAAAGGACCCTTGCCTCAGCCAGGGCCCTGCCACAGAAGACGCGTGGCCCGTCATCTGTACGACTGGTGGCCGCAGCTAACACGACGGCTGTCATAAACACGAGCAACTTCATTTGTTACTGAAAATGATAAATAATTTTATTAATTTCAGTCTCATATTAAAATGTACCAAAATAATTTCCTCTAATCAATCAGAGTTTCAGAAATATCAATTGATTTTATATTGTGAGCATTTTCAATTTTGTTTTTATGGAATTATGTATAATGACTTCGAAAATTGAGACACATTTTTAAAATATATACCATGGATGTGGGTGATATATGCATTAGAACTTAGAAGTTATGTGAAAGAGGACTATTAAAAAATACGTAACATAAAAGTATGAGAGTTAACTAAACTTTTCAAACTAATTTAATGTTAGTATCAAGTTATAATAAGCACGGACGGGATATATCTTTGACAAAATATGAAATATATGAAACAGAATTATGCGAAACTTTCAACACAAATATGTGTTATTAATATTATAAATTCAAAAGGCTGGTAAGAGAGGAACAGAATTAATTGATAAAAATAGATTTCAGTGTTACATTTCTATAATTAATTCATATTTATAAATATGTACAGTTACAGTTTCACATTGATTACTTAATCATGAAAATATTCATAATTAAAACTATTATTTACATTTGAATTCTGATACAGAATAAAATAATAGAAAACATTTTTGCCTATCAATCTCGGGTTCAATTACGACAATCAAAATATATCTGTAATAGTTTATTCACATATAGTGTACGCTTTGGTTAGTTTGTGTCAACAACTGACGTTCAATATGTGATGATGGTCGTATTTCATTGAACTATCACACAGTGATATAGAAGATAGTAGTAAACCGACGGCTCGATTGAATTAGCTCGATTCAACAAGCGCTCAATACATCAGTTCTAATGGTTACCAACACAAATGCTATCATTTTGAAATTATATATTAATTCTTATAATTAAACTCCTAATCAAAAATGATAACAAAATGATATATTTCTATCATAAACATTTATTGGACATGAGAAGTACATTTTTAATGAGTAGGTAATGAAGTAACAAAATCTATATAAAAAAATGTTACTATATCTTAAGTATATAAAAGAAATGTTAAAAAATAAATCTTTCAAACTAAATGAAATAAAAATATGTAAATATCCCTATCTAATCGGACGTTGGAACGATGAATATTGTTTTTAATCCTCTCTAGAATAAATACAAAAATAAAATAATTCCTAAAAAGCGATAGCCATTCCTGTATTTCCTTTTTTTTATTTATATCGTCCAAATACTACAAATCCGTTTTAAATTACTCGTGCACACTAAACCCGAAAAATAAAAGTCTATTTAGGTGAAAGCACTAAAATGTATTAGTTAAAGAATTTTGCAACTCAACATTTATCAACGCTGCATATCAACATTTATCTATTTACCGTAGAAAAGAAACCTTTGAACTAAAAATAATTTTACAAGCAGAGGTTTTAAAATATCAATTAAGTATTTGCTCAGAGTGTTTTGAATTTAATGCTTTCATTACTTCTGGCAGAGAAGTTAGATATTATCATTGCTATCAGATGCACAAGACTCTTAATGTCGTTCACGAAGAAAAGTTACCTGCAAGTAATTAAATTTTAGTGCCCCTTCATCTTAGTTCTCGGTTCTACAAGAACATCTGCGCTGCGTACTACTTGAAACGCATTATCTAGTATATTTTAGAAGTTTAATTTAATAAAACCATTATATTAGTATAATAATATATTTTTCTTCAATTCCTATAAAACACAATTAAGTGTTTCATAAAGCGTATCAGGAAACGGAATATTTTTTTAATGAAAACTTATTTTTAATTTCAAAAACAAAGAGACTCGTTAATAATTATACGAGCATTATAACTTAGGTTCATTGAAACGTTACTATAATTAAATTAGGATCAAATTTCAATAATAAATTAATAATAATTAATGGAAGATATAAATATTTGTTAATGATATATTGAATTCATTATGCAAGACTTCATTTGAAAAATATTTGATGAAGAAAATAAAACGTTTGATATAATGAAATTTTTTGACATAGAGTTTTATTCTACATATATATGTGTGTTTATATATTTTTTGTTAGTAGGATTTAAGATGACATTAAACAATAATTGCAGACGAAATGCGTGTAGTAATAGAATCATAGCGAATGTCTTATTTCGTATAATATACGATAAGTGGAAATGACATTCAATTTAAATTTTTAGCGGCTTTCAATGAGAATTTCGTATGGCAAATAAATATAAACCATAAATAAAAAGATGCTTTTGGCTATTTCATACCACAAATGTATGGCTATGAAATATAATATAATTTATGAAAGATACAAAATAAACAATATTTTCAAACTATTTAAAGACAATTTATTTCTTTGTTGTTATTTATTTCTTATATCAATTATTATATAGTTGTTATCAAAATTGAGGTGCAAATAATCATCGTATCATATTGTCGGTTATTATAATGGTTTATAACTTCTCCATTGCATGATACATCAGTTATACACTTTCTGGCAGATGGAAATGATTGCTGAGGTAATCCATTTTACTGATACAATAACTAACTTGATGACTGTTAACAAGTATAGTTCATCGATCCGTAACATTTAGATTTGAAATAAAATACCAATAATAAGACTTATAATGCTATCCAGCATTTACTGTAATTATTTTTCAGTTACAAATCTCACTCAGAAGAAGATTCTACCGAGTTTATTACTTACTTTATTGACAAAAGTTTTATCTCAACTCGATGAAGCATATAAGCATAAGCATAAGCCGCGTTAAAAGGTTCCAATTTATCGAGTTTAGCAACTATGCGTACTCCTGCATTAATGACTGAAACTACTGTTCATTTTTAAATTACTAATATCTTACTTAAAGTAAATTATTTTTTATATTAAGTAAGTAAAGATAACGAACGATAATTTAAGAACGGTTTAAGACTACCTAATAATGTTATTGCTAAAGTGCAGAACACATTAAGTAGCAATTTTTTTTTTTTTATGTATTCTACATTAAAAATATACTCTTATATTGTTATTTAATATACCTTGGTTAAGTTTACTTTTAACTTTAAGTAATACTGAAATTTTATTTAACATTGAAACGTAAAATCGATTTCAGTTGCAGTGTATATCCAAAAATTCAGAATAATATACATATATAAATAGTTTTTGTTAATATCACATAAAAACTATCATAATAATGATACTGTTTAAAGTATATCTATATCATAAAATTTTTAATTTTCTTACAAATAATGCAACAGAAATATATAATCATCACTTTAACAAATTAAATAGGAGAGACGTCCGGAAATAGAAAGTTAACTGTACAGGAATAGCATTGAACAAATATTGTGCAATTTTATTGAACAAACAGAATCCTTGCAATACCAACCCCTAACCAACAAAGTCAATACCTGACAGGCACCGCTTGGTGACGAAGCAACAAATTGAAATAAAATATATACTAGAAGATTCATTTAAAACAAACGAAAACATTACCGAAGTTAATAACTTTAAAGTTCTAGAGATATATAATAAATTGATACAAAATATTATTTTTTATAATATTTATATTTAATTCGCACTTAATAGAATTTATATGCTTAATATAATCTCATTCGGGATTTAAAATAATAAATCAATTTTAAGTGTTTATTAAATTGAAAACTCATGAAAGATTATATTAAAAACCATATCTCTCCGTAACAATATTAATACGCGTTAAATTATTACTTCTGGCTGCTTCTCACGAGCATTGAATTATTGAAAATATATAAAAAACGTAATTAATCACTGTGAAATCAATCTTTAGAAACAAATACAAAAAAATGCAACATCGCCTGGTCGGAGTTTATTGAAAATGGAGCGTAATTGAATTATAGCAATATTAAAAACAAACGAATAAGAATCGTAGCGAATCTCATAAAGCCATGGAAATATTTTCTCATTAAAACAGTATTATAAAAATCGCAATATTGTTAGCAATGAAAAATAAACATTGAAAACAACGTTATTACATTAGAAAATCATGTTGTATAATAAAATGCAATTATACTCACAGTTTTATGGAATCGAAATATGAAGACGCAAATTAATTATTCTTCAATGAAATAAAACTTTAACTTTCCGTTAACTAAATGCACTCCAATCAATCTTCCACGTATCTGATTGTTAAACGATCAGCTTCAACGGAAAGTAGAAGCAACCCTTGTGTTCCATATATAGATTCTATTGGAGGCATGCAGTCGCTTTTATACCCCGGCCAAGGGGTCGATGTACCTCACTTGTTAATTACTATATATCTTTCCACATATATATCGAAAATAGAGCAAGCCCTCATATGCTTAAAAGCACAGGAAAGATGCATTGGACTAATGTGTTCCTGTTCTACACGTAATAACATTTAGTGATCCGCAGACATTGAACATGTGAAAATAATAAGAAAGAAAATATTATGTTTTCTTTTTAAATCTTATTAATATTATAATGGTTATGAACAGTTTCTTTATGTTACTATTCTCGACTAAGTACTGCAATACAATGTTTATGATGAAATATACTCAATAAACTTGGATTCCAAGGGTTGTTATTTCGTGTTTGTGTGTTGAAAATTATTAAAGAAATAATTTGTTTTGTATTCCAATATTATCTATTAAAATATTGGATGCGAAATACAGAATAATAAAAAACTTTGAAAATGAAATTTGCTCTACATCACGTTTTATAAGTTCTGTCTTGGCCAAAAAGTTAGTGCACGCGATTTTTGCAATTTTAAATCAATAATTGCATTACGGTCACACGCGATGGTAATCCCAATAATTAATACTTTAAATTGCAGACTTAAACTAAAACTTAGGCTACTTTTTATAATACTTCCCGGAATTTAATTTACATTTTAGGTTTATAACTCTGTATTAAATATTATTTCATGTGACATAATGTCTATATTCATTTATACACAATTATGTATAAACATATATGTATATATTCTTTATATCTAACCTCAACAAACTATTGCGAT